GCAGATAGCCCTCGTGTTCAAAAAATACAAACAAATTTATGATCCACACATATGTAAAAATCTGCACAACGGCTCACATGAAAGGTAACCAGTCTTAATTATAATTTTTTAAAGGTTTTATTTGATGGTATTTTATAACCCGAAAGGTATATCCTACTTTACATAGGTTTGCTCGTCTTGTTATAATTCACTTCCTTGCGAGGGGCCGCCCCTGCCCTATGGTAGATCTGAAATTTCGGAGCTATCATGTTGGGTTCGAATCTGTACGATACCAGACACATTATCTCCACAGTTTAAACTTTGAGTGTGTTATAAGTGTGACAGTGCATCCCCATAGATGGTGAGTAGTAGAGTGCTGCTGGCTGGCTTCTTTCCCTTTGGTTAGTAGTCCAAAAACTGGGAGTGGGCAGACAGCCTTAGTACCGTATATTCTATTTGTGTAATAGTTGACACATGATGTTTGACCAAATATTCTTAATTTTTCATATATCTCGTGTAAAAACCGACCTAGTTTTTCTGGCAACCTAAGATAGCAACTGCTGACCCCAGGCCAGGTCACACTTTATACCGAAAACTTGTGAAAACAAACGAAAACACTTAACTCTTAATTGCAACTTAATTCGAACCATAATATCAAAATATTGTAATTATATAATTAAATAAGTTAATGTACTCTGAGGTAACAGTGCGAATATTACTAGTAGATAGATATGTAACATGCTTATCTGAAAAAAAAAAAAAAAAGATTTGTCTATTATTAAGATAATATGCAAGTTTTCATGTTTACCTTTTTGTGTAAATAAAAAATTAAAATTGCTTTTCTGTTGTTGCTTGTCTTTTATATCAGTTGTGTGTTTGTTTCATGTTTTTGTGGACTCTCACTGAGCATACATTTCAACCTCTCGAACGTATTACTCGCGTAAAAGTGGATCCCTAAATCATAGCTTTAAAAATCGGTCACAAAAATTCGACTATTCCACGAGTATATACGGTACCTTCCATAAATACAAATACAGATATTCACTTTTGCTCCGTATATATACGTCTACTGGTGAAATAACGCATTTTTCAACCGTTATCTCATTGGTCATTGTTGCAGAATCTTACAAGTGCTTCTAAGTCAGATCTTTTATGAAAAATATATTCTAAACATTAAAGGGACAGCTGCATTTACTATTAAAGTGTGAACTATGATTTTATTATCGACGCGTTTCCTTAGAATCAATAAAACCATTCGAAAATTCGTTTTCTTAACTAGTTTGCTTAACGAACACCGTATTTAAATAAAAATGGCATTTATTAATGTAGTAGGCGTTTTAAACTAATCAGTTGAGCAAAGCGAACAACTGTCTTTAGTTACGTATCATCAAGAAAGTAATAAAACAAACTTAACTTACTTGCATTCTCCAAGGGTTCTAAACCTCCATTAAGTTCTATTGAAGCACATGTCTTGTACATCGTCGCCTTTTCGGGGCTCCTTTTTTCCCTAATTGAATTCAAATTGGTTATAACAATAATAATCATTAAAAAACATTGCTTCAGTAACATAGTTGATATAATTAAGAACTGGAGGTTTGGTATGATTTAAACATTCAGTTGTTGAAAACGAAATACGAGGGAAAGTAATCTCGTAAATACACATATGCACATATTAAATTAATGAATAAAACAAGTCTGAATGAATCTTGCTAGAGAAATTACTGTCACAATTATAATAAACAAATAGTCATTATTTAAATAGCATTTTTTATCAGCATAATTTCTTTCTTTTCTCGAACTAAGTTAAATCGTTGAATTATTTAATTTAGTGACTTGCAATAATAATCTTAACCATAAAGTTGAATTTTGTAGTAATATCTAAGTGGTATAATATCACAATACGATTGGTAATACTTTAAATACCACCGTTTTTTACTGATCCAATAAGGGTTTCCAGAAGAAAAAAAAGAAGTTTAAACAGAGGATTGAATACATTATATTAAAACGAGTTTGGAGCTTTATTACATTACATCATAGCCACGTCTGGCTATGCTTTATCTGACGATCGTGCATCTTGACAATGGTGCAGTGTAGATTCTTTTGCAAAATGTTCTATCGTAAGGTTGTCATATCCAAAGTACGCCACTCCATTCTGCTGGTTTTTCATTTCGTGTACGAGTACGACGGTGTTCCAGCACCTCATTTCACAAAGTACGCCACTCCATTCTGCTGGTTTTTCATTTCGTGTACGAGTACGACGGTGTTCCAGCACCTCATTTCAATACTCCAACTGTGCAAAAGTATCCCTCGGTGGGTCAATTATAAGCTTCTTGGATGTACAATCCTAAAATACGGGGTTTGATTCCCCCGGTGGACAGAGCGCAGACAGCCACTTGTGTAGTTTTGCGCTTAAACAACAATAACGCACTGAAATCCATAGGTACTGCGTCCGGCGACTCCAGCGCCATGTCTTTGTACAGAATAACATGAATACTCGTTCCATTCTCCAGCTGCTTATCGAGTGTGGCTGTGGAATGGGAGCTACGATTGGATGCCTTATCCAGGTGAACATATGCCCTGTTGGCATTGTTTACAGATGGAGATCCTTCTTGATTATATTGCGTACTGTTGCCTGGGGCAGGTGAGTGTCCTTTGCCACTGGCCTGTTACAAGACACCGCACTGGGGTTCGACATGTTGCGGGTCTCTTTCTGAGTGAACCCAGTAACCAAGTTGATCCATATTCCTATGTATTCCAATGCAATTAAGTACAAGTGATACCCCCGTCTATGAAATTCTCAATCCCAGATCTGAATACACCTTTATGATCTGTGATGGAAAGGGTTGTTTATACCTTTGCCAAAAGCGATAAATTTTGGTGACATCACCCTACCTAGGCAACGATAAACAATGTCAAAATGTAGTTCTGATACATTCCGCTTCACTGCGATTTTTTATCGGCTGTGGTTGTAACATAACTCACATATTCAGAATCGTTTTGACATAACGTACTTAACCCTGTAATACAATTTCAACTATACTTTGTGTATTATATGCCACTGTTGACTATGGACAAGGCATGATTGAAATGGGCTGAATGGACTATAAACTCATACTAAAGTATGATGTATAGACAACAGGCACATAATATAGCACTACTGAGGGGAATGCTCTTTAAGAGTTGGCTAGGCAACAGCCGTGAATATTACTTGAAATATTGTTAACATTTCAGTAAGGTTATCTTAATTCCAAAGTAAGAAAACCACGGTTCTTTCTTCTAAGTCTCGAGAAACACTTTGTAGGTTATAACTAATTCAAACTTATCTTTCCTCTAGTCTCGAGAAACACTTTGTAGGTTATAACTAATTCAAACTTATCTTTCTTATTTTAAAAAATTAGTAATTAAAAAGTAAGGAAATACAACCATGCAGTTTTCAACTTCTTGTAGCCCAACTCAAGCAGGTTTATTAACATGTCAGTAGACTTCTACGTGTACACCATTAGTGGCTCTCGGCAAGTCTAACCGATATTTGATTTCAGTCAACGTTCGCAGCAACATGTCTGCAGTTACAGTGGCAACGGCATCCAATATCCTTGTCTTTAGTTCTGTGATGTTTGCTATAGGTGTGCGATACATGATGTCCTTAATATACCCCAAAGAAAGAAATCTAGTGGAGTGATGTCTGATGAATGCAGAGGCCATATAATTGGCCCACTCTCAAGCCAAACGACACAATGAGTCTTTTCTTGCACGGTTGCCATTTTACGGGGTAACACTACTTACTGAAGTGATAAAAAAACATGACAATAAGAAATGTTTGAGTTGGGCTACAAGATGTTGAAAACTGCATGGTTGTATTGCTTTTGTTGTTTGATTACTAAATTTTTAAATAGGAGAGATAATGTTGGGCCACCTGTATGTAAACTAGTTAGGCACTGCTACCCTGAGGCGACACCATGCGAATAATGTCTTACACCACAATAAAAAAAATCCATACTTTGAAATATATGATACTTCTGTTAAAATGTCAAGTTTTGTTTTCATACATATACCTTTGAATTTATGGACAAGACGTTATAAGACCAACACACGTAAAGAAGGAAAGTAAAGCTACAATAGTTGTGTATCTGCGGGTCGTGGGTTCGAATCCCCGTCCCACCAAACATGCTCGCCCTTTCAGCCGTGAGGACGTTATAATGTGACGGTCAATCCCACTATTCGTTGGTAAAAGAGTAGCCCAAGAGTTGGCGGTGGGTGGTGATGACTAGCTGCCTTCCCTCTAGCCTTACACTGCTAAATTAGGGACGGCTAGCGCAGATAGCTCTCATGTAGCTTTGCACGAAATTCAAAATAAACAAACAAACAATAGTTGTGTTTGTTTGTAATTAAGCACAAAGCTACACAATGGGCTATCTGTGCTCTGCCCACCACGAGTATCGAAACTCGGATTCTAGCGTTGTAAGTCCGCAGACATACCGCTGTACCACAGAGGGGCACAATAGTTGTGAACTCCAACAAACTGAAATATAATCAAAAAGTAAAACTGTGCCATTTTAAAATCATCGTCAATACTAAGAATGAATAGATCATAGACATCAGATTAAACTGACAATCAACTTTCTAAAACTTATTTGTAATTCTAAACGAGTATCGAAACGGACCCCAGTTAATGACCAATGGACAAAACAATATACAATACAAGTCCTCATTTTTGCAAAGTAAAGTCCGTTCGTTTTTAGTTATAAACGGTCCAATAGCTGATATCTATTTCAGAAACTGAAGTTTCCCAGATTTGGTTGGGGGGGGGGGTAAAAGCGGCATTATATATGGACACCTAAGCCTATTTTGATTTTTTTTTTCCGATACAAATGTGCAACAACAAGGTTATAATCTCACGAAGTTATTAAATTGAAAACGTAAAACTTTGTACATATTAGACAGATTACATAAAATGCGAGCTTTAAAGAAACAAATGATTGGAAATATCTTCCAAGTAAAACTCCAGCAAATAGATAAGTGTGTGTAAAATGAAAATAATAAAGACGTACAGAAACAATAAATTGAAAAAAAAAACAAATTTAAAACTAGTTTATGCAAAGCAAGAGATATCCCTCCAATCGTAAGTATTTATCTGCCTTATGTTAGATCCACACTGACTAATATGAATTCTGTCTCTAATCACGGTTTCTTAATTACTATCGAAAACAAAGAACATAGTGAATAAAATAAAAAAGATAAGCGAATTATAAATATTCAAAACAAACACGGGTTGTGGTAGTTACAGTGTACCATGTTTTTGTTTAAGATATTATCGTACAAGTCAGTTATTTGCGATGTTTGTGAGGAAAACAAAACGGTATCTAACTTTTTAGAATGTGAACAAGGAAGATAAAAAATTCAACGTTGAGTAATGGCAGTAACACCAACTGAAAGCAAACATTCACTTGATACTTCTGTTTGCGGAGATTGAACATAATGTAAATTTGTAGCTACCCTCATTTGTACGGGCCCGGCATGGCCAGGTGGATAAGGCGCTCGACTAACAATCTGAGGGTCGCGGGTTCGAATCCGCATCCCACCAAACAAGCTCGCCCTTTCAGCCGTGGGGGCGTTATAATGTGACGGTCAATCCCACTATTCGTTGGTAAAAGAGTAGCCCAAGAGTTGGCGGTGGGTGGTGATGACTAGCTGCCTTCCCTCTAGTCTTACACTGCTAAATTAGGGACGGCTAGCGCAGATAGCCCTCGTGTAGCTTTGCGCGAAATTCCAAAACAAACAAACAATCATTTGTATGTCATAGGAAATAAATGATTTAAATTACTTTGAAAATGCTTTGAAGTTACATTGAATTCTGGTGGTCTCAAGATAGAAAAATAACTAAATGGAGAAAAATATGTTTATTGATCCAATGCTTGTTTATTCATCATGATATGAAACGAGACTAAAGTTATTCAGAGAAGCAGTACCAAAAAAAAAAGCAATAACAAATTAACTGCAATAAGTTTCGTTTCAAACCCTAAAAGGCATAAGATTCATGCATTGTATTGTTGTTCAAAGCTTCGTTAGTAAAGCCCCCTAGCGGCACAGCGATAATTTTGAATACTTATAACGTGGTGGGCATAACAAAGATAGCTCGTTGTGTAGCTTTGCGCTTAATTCCAAACAAATCGTTACGAAAAACTAATAGTTTGGTGTTATTAAAAACTTGATGTCAAAATTTCATTATCTCCCTGGTGGCTAATCGGTAAGCTTATAACTTTAAAATTAGTGGTTTGATGGTCACAGTATAGATAAGTCCATTATGCAACTTTGTGCTTAATGACGGATAAGATATAAATTTCAATAAATATGAAAAAAGTTAATGGTTAAACATGTATTATTAACATAATCTATAAACCTTCGATGATTTTTACTCGTAACATTATTCCTAAAACAATCAATAATCACTTTTTTAGTATCGGTTTCTCAGATATAGTATGTAAGAAAACTGTTTTTGTTAGACGGTTT